GCCAAGAGAAAAGAATAATCAATTATTTTCTCAAGAAGGAGTGAACTTGTCCCTTTTTTGAACCTATTTTAATGTGCAGCAACTTTCGTGAACTGGACACTACTTACCAAGCTGTTTCCATTAATATAAAGAAACATTGATGACAAGATAAATATAGGTTTCATCACGTGTCCAGTTCCAGCATGTAAACCCAGCAAAAAACACAATAAGCAGGGAGACACTGCCTACGAATGCCAGCCTGTCAAAAGTATAAAAATATGCCTTCCAACACCAGAGCTTCCCTTCTCATGCAATGTAGAAATAGAAATGTAAAAACAAGACATTGTGGTTTATGCGTTTCACAACAAGTCTCCATACCTAAATGACAAACTAGGTCATGTCAGTGCCTTACAAAACAACCCGCTTAAATGTTTACTGACCTGCCATCTCTGTGGTTAAAGCTTCATTGATTGCTTTTTTGGCCACTTGGCCAATTGTTATGAACGTGTTAGCAAATTGTTAGCATAATATTTTTTTAAACAAATAAACATAATAATTATAACAATTATAATAATTATCATAAATAATAATGATAATAATAATAATATTTATTTGCCTAGCCCTTTTCAAAACACAGTTATAAAGTACTTTACAGAACAAGATTTAAAAAATGTACACAGTCAAGATAAAAACACACAAAAAAACATAAGACTTGATTAAAATGAAAGTGACAAAAGTGGAATAGAAACTAGACAGGTAGGGAGTTCCACAACTACAGCTCAAGGGAAAATGCCCTGTTTTAGCAGAACATAAAGTTCTATCTTGTCCACATAACAGTGGAAATTAATGTTATACTTACGAATTATCAGATCCAACGGAAGACTATAAATAGAAAGTAGTATAGGACCAAGAACTGACACCTGTGGAACACCACATGAGAAAGGGCCTGGGGATGAGGAATATTCTCTCATTTGGAGTCAAGTTTTTGGCCGACTTTGCCTGCTTACTGTTTGGTGCTGGTCACGCAGTGTACAAAGGGTATTTCAGAACTTTTTCACTGAAAACTACTGCCTGCAGTAAAGTTATGGGCCATAAAACTTTCAGAACAATAAGCTAAAAGATGATGAAACCCTTTGTAGAGCTGAGGAGAACTGCTATGAGTGACCTTTTCCGCATTACACATAGTCATTCCTTCCATTCCTATAAAGAATATTAAGTGCAGCCTCAAGGCTTGGTTAAGTTTTGCTAACTAAAAGTACTTTAAGGTTCAGAAAAGATTGTGGTATAGTCAAAAGAAACCAGTGGTTCAAAGTCAAGATACTTCGTTCATCCAACCATCCACCCCAACTGCCTCCCAAAGAGATTTTATGGTACTATGACAATGTCATGCTATGTTACAGTCAGTTATTATTTGTGCGACCACAAGAAGTTGCTTGTCAGGAGAACATAAACAAAGGTTGTTTAAAGCGTTTGAAGAAACAACTAAGGCTGTTGTTTTTCTGTTGAAGAGCTCCCAACATGTAAATAAGACAGCTTTGGAGCTGTTGAAAGGCAGTTTACTCTACTTTTAACTGGGACAAATGATAGCAGTTTCCCCACACTGTACTTTCCGTCTTTGTGCTAAGTTAAGCTAACACACCCTGGAGCTACAGTATGTCTGCGCTACATGGACAGGGATGAAACCGATATTATTCCTCTGAATATCAAGCATATTTCCCCAATATTGGACTGTTCCTTCAGATTCATGCTGAATATATGCAAACAGATTTTTGGTAGGTTATTTAACTTTCACTACATCCCTTCATTTGGGCATCAGTGGACTTATAAATAAGAAGAGGCAGCTTGAGGAAGGTGGCAGTGACAGTCAATATGCATATCATCAATATTTGATGCTGAGAAAATAGAGGGACAAAGGATAAACATGAACCTCACACAAATCCATTTGGCAGAACCTGTTAATCTGACAAATAATTGCTGGAAATGAAAAACTGATGTAAAAATATGTTTCTTAGAAGAGTTGAATGTTCAGGTTTATCTGGTAGTCGCTTCATATTTTGCACAAACGGCCACAGTATAGTTGACAAATCCACTCCCCCTGTGTGAAACCATGTAATTCTCCGTCTGCCTCGTGTCGTGTCCAGCCGTGTGACTCATGTTTCTCATGTTTACGCTGCAGCGGTACATCACCTAGCCGTGATGACGAGGACTTTGCTGTAAGCCACAGCTGAGCACCCTATATCCACCCTGCCGGCACAGCGTCAGTGTTTTCATTCCATATGATAGGAGTCACACCACATTCCTGTTACAACTTCTCTGCAGCGCATAAAAATCTCCTCTTGAAACCGCAGAGCCATGTGTTTTGAATTTTCCCTCTGTTTGTTCCCATTTACAGCATCTCTCTCCACTTTTTCTTCTGCTCATTCTCCCTCTCTGTCTTCTCTCTCCATCTCCTCTCCTCTCTCTCACACACACACACACACACACACCGATCGCTCGCTCTCTTCATGTTGATAGGCCTATTTAGTCCTCATGAAAGCATTCCATTTAGGTGCATTTGAGGTTACGGTTGTCACTGACAACCGGCTGTCAGAGAGTGGCAGGCTCTATCAGTGTTGGGGGTTTCCAGAGGAGCTTACAACACACAGAGCAGCTATTGATGGAGCCCGCTTTATGGACTCAGACCCACCAAGGGCAATGGTGTGTGACAAAGACAGCTAGGGGAGTTGGTAGTTTGATTTGTTGACCCCACAAAAGGATAGAATCACCCCATCTGATAAATAGTCGTATTTGATTTAATGCACAGTTTATGTATATATATAATGTAATGTTGAGAGAGGTTGATGGTTTCACCAGCAAAATTGATTAAGAGGGAAAAAACAAACAAAATAAAGCAATAAAAAAGATGCAAATGAAAACAGTACAAACCTATAAAGCAAGCAAACTGAAAATGCAAAAAAATAATTTTATGCTGGAAATGTGAACACAATATGTCGACTGGGTAGAAGGCAGGACATTAATGGGCGGTAGCCATTTCCATTGCAGGAACTTTTTTCAGGCACCCTAGGAACCATTTCAGGAACTGGTATTATGACTGTAGGAACCACAGTCTAAATTAAGTTCCTCAGTCATAAACCACGTTCCCACCGCAGGAACTTTCCCCAGGGACTAGGAACCTTTGGAAGAACTGCGTTTCCACCACAGGGACCAGGGTCAAAATTAAGTTCTGGGGACATTGTTTTACCCCCCAAAAAGTCCCTGCTTAGGGGGTAGTACTTTCCCAAAGTACGGGAACTTTGGGGGCGGAGCTTGCAGCGCTAACCATTTCTGATTGGTAGAGTACACACAGCTATTTATTTCAGCCTCATTTTAAATAAATCTGCAACTTCAAACCAGTTGGTTTTTTGTTTATTTTGCTTTGACAAGTTTTGTAATTTGGATTTTTGAATCGGCTTTGCTACTAATCCTAGTCTCTTTTCTACCATTTTTTTTGTTGTTGTATAGTCGGTCACAAAAATTACATCGAAAAACAGCCGTAGCTTTTTCATCCATCAATTTGCCTAATCTTCGCTGGTCTTTAGAAATGCAGACAACGGGCTGAAGGAACCTTCTAGTTCCTTGAAAAGTAGTTCCTGGTACCAAAACAGTCCCTCCTCTGGTGGTAGTTCTTTTTGATGACGAAGGATCTATTGGGGTGGAGTTTGCCACACCGATAGTGTTCCTCCACCAAATTAGCTCTGGTTCTTGAACCGGTTCCGTTTAAGATTCTTGGAACCCTGGTGCTATCTAGTGAACCAACCTGTGTTTCCACCAGTTTTAAGAGGAACCATAGTTACAGATCATTGTTTAATGCACAATGCACAATGACCTGTAGAATATGACGCACCTAATTTGATTCCCCAGGAAAACGTGCTATTTTTTGGTTCTAGCTGGGAACCCATTTTTTGGGTTCCAAACCAATTTATTTTTGGTAAGAAATCTAGGTGCACAAACAAGAACAGAGCTTGTTCCCTGTTGGTGGGAAAGGCCTACGAATGTCATTGGTCAAACCAAGACCTGACAAAATTAGCGTGGAACCGCACAAAAGGGACTAGAAATAGTTTATTACTATTAGTATGTTCTTTGTATGGACTATGTTTGCATGTGTGAGAGAATTTAGATTTTTAGCAACCTTCAGGAATTTACATTCTACAGTTAAAAACGTTCTCATTGTAAGATAAATTTAAACAGATTAAACCACTATTTGTGGACTGAATATGTTTGAACTTGAAGCCCAAGAAAATAAACAAATAAAAGCTTCCCCACATGGGAACCTTTTCAGGAACTCAGGAGCATTACCTGCGTTTTCATCAGAGGAAGAAGGATCTAAATTTAGTTTCTCTTCAATAGTTCCTTTCGCAAAAAAAGTCATCTCAGTGCCAGTGCAGGAAGCAGTTTGGCCTTTACGTAGCGATGTTAGTAGGGGTGCAATTACCTTGCCTTTTTATTCTGTCTCTAACCTGAACTAAGTGTTTTAGTTTCCCAACCCTAACCATAGCCATAGCCATAGCCACAGTCTTTTCCTAACCTTCAGCATACCAAACTTCCCACGTGCAGATATTGTAGAAATGAAGAATTATAAAACGTTGGCATTGGACATAAAAAGGAAAAACAAAACGTAAGTGACATAACTCTGAGTTTTTCAGAATATTTATTTTCTTGTAAATATAAACGTCCACATCGACAGTATTTTATTGCGACATCCGGTATTTTTTGACTGGATATGTTTAAATTTGTCTACTTTTAGGCCAACAGAATGCTAATACAATAAGGGGTTAAGCATTTCTATGCCAGAATTGTATTCCTCACTGTACAGAAAATGATATGGAATAAATTAAATACAAAAAAACATCAGAACTTCGGGCTCATGACCTCAGTATTGGTAAAATCCTAGCTGAGGCTAAGTATTAATTACTTATTTACTCCTAGTTATTTGCAGCTGTACATGTCTTACTTACTGATTACTACATTAGAAACAACATAAATATTCACTAAGGTCACGATGAATTATAAGTACTATATCAAGGCTGTATTCTATGAAGGCTGTAGGCTGGCTCGCTAATTTAAACTACATAGAAACAGCATGTGTAACCTTCATAAGGATTTACAAATGAAAAGTTTAGGTTCTTGGAGTTTCTAAAAAAACACAGTAGAGCAGGCAGAATATCAAACATTAAAACATATTAAAAGTGACAAGCTTCTTTGAAGAGGCTTGCATTTTGTTGATTTGATCCACAGTTATTATTCAAAAACACAGAAAATAAAGATAATATTTATCTTTAATCAGCAATGATTGAATTAAAACTCATGGTAATTGTTACTTGTGAAGAAATATGATATAAACATGATAAACTCCTAAGTATGTGAATTTGTGTATATAAAGGACTGTCTCTGTAAATTGTATTGTTGAGAATATCACCCCCATCACTCACTCACACACACACACACACACACACACACAGACACACACTCCTCCTCCTCTGGAAACCTGTTCTGGAGGGAGTGACTTGATCCAGGCGGCGTCCAATTATATGGAAGCAGCACTTATTCCACTTTATTCCAGGCTACAGTTAAGTGGCTTGAAGCCTTCAGAGACACACGGGCTTGTAGTATAAAGGCAGAGCAATAGGCAGAGAGACGGTACCCATGTGACATGTGAACGGAAAGCTAAAGACAAAGGTAGAAATATCTACTACACGGCGTGCGGAGGAGACACAGAGGATGCTCCAAAGCAAATCCATGAGGGTTTTTTTTCCTCGTCTGGAAATTCACGGCTTCATATAAATGATTCATGAGAGCCTGTTTCTATTTCTAAGGGAGTAATTGCGCTCGCAGTGAGTTTCAGCTGGAGCCGGTCACCAACACAATCTGCAGAGAGACGGTAGTAAAGCTGGGATCAGAGCCTGGAGAAAATTATAAAGTCAATCAATGTGTGGAGTTTGATAAGCGCTGCTTTTAACCTGCACTGGACCTCATCTGTCAAAAGGATCAACTGTTGCTGCAGCCGGAGTGAGCACAGAGACATTCTCCAAGTGTGTCTGGCTTTCATAATGGATGTTTGACCGTCACTTGGTCCTGCATGAAGCCACACAGTCGGTGTTGTGCAATTAACATGGAAGAGAGACTGATACTGTTGTTGATGCCTCGGATACACCTTCATCTGTCCTGATGTGATGCCACATTGTTGCACTGAGGAGAATGATAATATCCCACACCGCTGCCGGCTCCTTCATACTGGTTGATCATCTCTGTGTGTGAAACAAAACACATTTGTTCCTTTTTCTTTGTACAAGGGACCAGTTTTGGGTATTTGAACTCACTGGCAGACGTCAACATTGACAGGCTTTTTGTTATAGTGACCTTGCCCGGTTTTGACATCTATTCAGCGGGAGATCATCATGTTGATGATGATGAAGAACAGCGGCATGGATGCGCATCAGGTTGATATCGATTCGGAATTTGAGCCTCACAGTCGGTCGCGGTCGTGCACCTGGCCGCTGCCGTGTCCGGAGGATTTCCCCGGGGGAGAAGAGGCGAGCCGAGGTCTGGCCCTGGCATCGGTCAAAGTGGAGCAGTACAACGTGCCCGCATGCCGGGCCGAGAGAAAAGGCGGCGCACCGGCGGAGATCAAACATCCAGCCGGCGCCCCGGCCCCGGTCGTGGCCGCTCCTGCCTGCATGTCCGGGGCTGCGCTCGACGTGGCCGGCCAGCTGCGCAAAGCCAAGTCTTCCCGTCGGAACGCGTGGGGAAACCTGTCTTATGCAGACCTCATTACCCGTGCCATCGAGAGCGCCCCGGAGAAGAGACTCACCCTGTCCCAAATATATGACTGGATGGTTCGCTTTGTTCCTTATTTCAAGGATAAAGGCGACAGCAACAGTTCAGCCGGATGGAAGGTAGGCCACATGAAAGAATTTTATGACACCACATGGTGTAGGTTTTAGTGGAGAAGCTGCACTATATTTAGTCTCAGTCTGTGTCTGCAGCATAACTCCTTTTCTGCATATTTGAAAGCCACATAATTGACCCCTGGTCCCAGCAATTTATGTCAGTGGCGTGTCCCCGTGTCACTCCACACTACAGTGTGTGGAAAGGGGCGGTGAGCATGGTTGGATAAGGGTTCACTGGGTTCATCGTATTTAGAGATTGCAGCCTGTGCATATAGGAGTAGCCACACGGAGCCAAACTCCCCCTCTTCACGGTTCCCTTTTGGAAGGGCAACTAATACGCGCTGTGACGCACCGGTGAAGTGTCTGGTTTTAAGCCCATATTTCTCTGCGTTATCGGGTCACACGGGGGACAGAGTTTGCCTCCGGTCCGATTTGGAGAGTCACCCATGCCGCCGGTTGGGTGCTCGGGGATAAACCGTTTGGGGCCACCCCGCCCCCTGCTATCCAGTGCGCGCACGTTGAATTACGCACAAGCTGTGCGAACGCATGGCACAAGGCTAAGGGTTTAAAAGGACAATAACAAGAGATGATGACATGGGGTGTCACAGCAAACAGATGTAACTACAGATTATCCCTTAAATTCAAATTAATATGAGGTTAATCTAATAGATTGGTTGCTGTAATCTACTTAAATTGACCACCCATTCTGTGTGAGGATTAATGGTCTTTTGTTTCCAAGCCCTATGCTGTAGCTCCCCCTCATACCATCCTTTCTTCTTGACAAAGTTTTGCTTCTGTATCACTCGTTAAACGATTTAAATAAATGCACACTGCCTTCCTATAGCTGATGAATATGGACTTCTGGTATTAAATGTTACATGAAATACATCAGTCAAGACTCATATGAAAACAAAGTATGTAACACTTGAATCAGATGTTTTTAAGGAAAGAAGAAGAAAAAGAAAAAAACCCATATAGCTGAAAATCTGATTTGCTGTATCCACTTGTGTTTTATGGTCTTTTGTCTGTAGTGGGAGTTTCATCAAAGGGCTACAAGGGTCAACACTGCAGTTAATGGGAATTTTCTAAAAAGCTGGATGCACACTGTTAACTCTAACAGAAGAGGGGGAGTACTCTCAATAACTCCCTTCTTGTTAAATTTGACAGCAGGCTTTAACATTTACTGGCATTGTTCTATTCAGGAGCTTGAAAAAGAGACACACCATTCAACATAATGACAATCTTAAAGATGGCTGGGAAATATGTTTGAGTTTGTTTTTTACATCCATAAAATAGAAAGATTATTGAAAGAAAATTGAAACAGCAGAGTCCTCATTTTTAGTACTTCGTATGGGTCGAGCTCCAATAACAAACAATTCCTATAATGCAACTCAACAAGGTCTTTTATTAGACCTTCTCGGCCCACTTCATTCAAACCCTACGCCTCCTTTTTGTAACGCAGGTTTTCTGGGTTGTTTTTTTCAAACTTAAAAGCTCTAGTATGTAACATTTAGGAGGAT